ACTTACGCGTTGAAAGGAATTCTTTTGGAAAGAAGATAGAGACACATGTCTATAATCTAAACTTATAATAGTTTAGATTAGTAGGTTATTTATCTTCTTTATATTTGAGATTGTAAACACTATACTATTTCCCCACTCTTGGATGATTTTATGATTCATAGGTTCTATTTCCATTTTAATGTTCGGTCTAAATTGTCTTTTATTTTAGGGGTGTTACATTCGTCAGAACCGATTATGGATCTGAAAGGTACAACTCTAAACACTCTATGGTTTGTTAAGATTCATTTTTAATTCACTGGATCCAACTTGGGTTTTAATTTAAGAAACGTTTTCTAAAATAATTGTAAGTAAAAATTATTTCTGATGCATTTAATGATTACAAAAATTGCTTCAAAACCCAACAATGGTATTATAGTCACTTTGATTAGTTAAATGAATAATCAATAAGAAATGAAATCGAAAACTAGAGTATTTTTTAGAAGAGACTGAGACCCCCCTTTTTTCTCGCTACCTTTACGGCCGATCCGCCTCACCCTCGCTGGTGCCACCGCCCCACAGCGGTAAGGCGGTAGGCGTCGTTCTGGCTATCGCGCTTTGGCGCTGGTGGCTGGTGTTAAGTTGTCATCCTGCATTGTCGATCTAGCATCACAGCCACTGCCATGCACCATACGTTTTGGCAGTGAGATGGATGTCGAGCGGGTGTCTCAATGTCTTGATCATTGATGGACCATCGAAGGCTTTGGGCTGAGTGGTTAGTCGCCTCATTGCACCGTTGTGTCCAGACCACTGCTACGACCATGACATACAACTGTTGGACAACCTCGCTCGATCACGACCTAGAGCTATTAGACAACCTTGCTCGAGCCACGACCTTATGCTATTGGGTGGTCCTCCTCGGCCACGACCTAGAGTCGTTGGTCAAGATTTCCTCAGCCACGACTTCGGGCCTCTTTGACCTCGGCCTAGCGCCGCTGTTTGACATCTTGAGGCCACATTTATGTTACATCTTTGGTGATGTCCCAACCATAATTTCGTTCGTTTTAGTCAAACTGCGACTGTTTCCATGTGATCCCATGGCACCATGCGCAGGCTAGTGGTCTGAGCCACATGTCATGGGCCAAAGTGGTTTTGGGCCAAGTCTGTATTCACAAAATATGTTTTCAGTTTTTCCGTTTTTAATGTTTTGTCTAATTTAGGCCTATTTATTTATGTTTACTTAATTCGACTAAATTAGTTATTTTATGTTTAAAATATTATAATAATATACGGTATGCCCCAAAACACCCGTGTTTGTGTTTGGTTGATTTAGTTTATTGGAAAATTAAAATGTATTAGTTGCAAATGGCTGTAGTTTTTATTTTAATTCTCTAGATTGGAACGATTTTAAGATTTAATAAGGCATGTTGTATTTTCTATTTTAAATTGTAACCAAATCTGAAGACGACATTCCAAGAGGTCAAGATAGAGTTCCCTGACTTCAACAAGTTGGTGGGGCTAGTGGAAGCTTGAAGACGTCCTTAGACTGATCGTGGTTTTTGTGTTGGCTCACAACACCACATTAAAGACAATACCATCTATTAATTGTTATGGTTGTTTATTTTGTGTTTTTATTTATTCATTTGCTTAGAGTTATTGTTATAATGTTTGCAAAACATTTTTGAAATAAATTCAAATGCAAAATAAATTTATAAATCATAAATTAAATATGATATGATTAGCAAAATCAAATTGACTTTTGGATAAACTTTTGAAAACAAAGATTTTAATTTTAGAAATAAAGCCAAACGTTTTTAAAAGCGTATAATGTTTTCTAAAATTCTAACACTTTACAAACGTAAACTATACGCCACTCATTTATGGTACTTAACAAAACTTACGGATTCCAGTATGGTCAATGCGTAGCCAATCATACTCGATGATTGTAATGTGAGACAAGACGTCAAAAAAACGAGATTTAAGTGAACAGATGCTTTTGGCAACTTGCTTAAATAGTCGTGTTTTGAACAATTGATACAATAAATCCGAAATCAAGAATTGAGGTGGGATCACGACACCTTAGTATGACTAGGTTACTTGGAAATTTCATAAACAATTGCATTGGCCATCTATGAGTATTTTCAAGGCATTGTAATGGGATTAAACGTGTCAATTCCTATATATGATATATCAAATAGAATTCCACGAACACCTAAGAGCTAACATTGAACGAAATTGGATGATGCCTACCTAAATAACCTGTTTCCAGAAATAGTTGCATTTGGTCCTTTATGGGAATAGGTGAAATATGGATCTTAGCTCAAATTAAAATAATTTTCAAAAGGTTAATTCATTTTATTTGAGATTTTAAAGTTACTAAAATTGAACTTAAATATTGTACATGTCTGCTACCACCTCAAACACAAACAACTTATCCCAATTTACACTATGGTGAATTTTTGATAAGGAAAAACTGATCGGAACAAACTTTCTTGAATGGTTTCGCTTCCTAAGGGACATCCTTATGCATGAAAAGAAGTTCTACGTTCTAGAGAACTCCCCTTCAAACACTTTTTCCAGGAATGCTTAAGCTGAAGTCAAGGCTACTTATGATAAGTATGTCAATGACTCGCTGGATGTTGGTTGTCTGATGCTTACCTTCATGACTCCCAAGTTATTGTGGGACTACGAAGACATCACTACCTAGGATATGGTATCTCCATTGAAATCTATGTATTAGTTACAAGCCATATATAGAGGTTTGATACAGTCAGGGCATTGAATACCTGCATGATGACCAAGGGCTCATCAGTCAATACCCACACTTTGAAAATCAAAGGGTATATTGACTGACTGACCCGTCTTGGCTTCCCACTAGGTCAAGAATTGGGAATTGATCTAGTTCTCAATTCTTTACCCAAATAATATGACCATTTCGTTATGAACTATAATATGAACGGTTTGGATAAAAATCTCACGGAGCTTTAAGGCGTGCTTAGAAGTGTTGAGAGAAGTATAAATTTCAAGTTGGATTTAACTAAACCAAAACAAGTTTTGATGATCAAACCTAAAGGTGAGATAGTCAAGAAAAAGAGGGTGGTTTCCAAGGGAAAGGCTCAAGTTAAGAGTTTCAACAAAGAGAAGGGCAAGGGAAAGATTCATGAGAACACAATTTGCTTCAACTGCAACCAAAAAGGGCGCTGGAAGAGAAATTAGCCTTACTGGCGGAGAAAAAGAAACAAAAGGCTGTTATAGCCGAAGCTTCAGTTATGTTTACCATTGATTTGTTTACTTCTGACTATGACTCTTGATTATTGGATTTCAAGTGTGATACTCATATTTGTACTACTCTACAGGGTCTAAGAAGTGAAGAGAAGATGAAACTAGGCCAATTAGAGATAAGGATAGGCAATGAAGCTAAGGTAGCTGATGTTGCTCAAGGGTCATATGATATGAAGCTTCCAAATGGTCATACTTTAACACGTAGCAAACGTCTATATGTACCTAGCATTACTAGGAATATAGTTTCATTTTCTCAATTATAGCAAACTAGATTTATGTTTACTTTTAGTAATAGCTCACTTTTTGCTTAACTTAACAATGTTTTGTATTTTATAGCCAAACCACACAATGGTATTTATGAAATTGATATGCAAAAAGTTGTAATAACGAATCAATATCTAACGTAAACAATAAATGAATTAAACAAGGCTTAAATAGACCTACTTGTGGCATTGCCGTCTTTGAACATATAAACAAGAAGCACATGCCAAATACCAGGAAGAAGAAGTGTTGGAATCATGTGATGATTCATATGATTATGTAGATCTTGTTTATTAGGCAAGATGACAAAGGCCCCTTTTAGAGGCAAACTCGAAAGGGCTATAGAATTGTTTGTAGTCATTCATACTGATGTATGTGGTCCTTTCAGTTCAGCCAGAAGAAATGATGATCACTACTTCATTACTTTTACTGATGATTTTAGTAGATATGAGTATGTTTACCTAATGAAAAATAAATCTGAAAGCTTATAACTCTAAACACCCTATTCTTTGTTTAGGTTTGTTTTTAATTGTCACTGGATCCGACTTGGGTTTTAATTTTAGAAAAGTTTTCTAAAATGATTGTAACCTAAAATTATTTCCGGTAGGTTTAATGGTTACAAACATTACTTTAAAACCCAACAGTAAGGAAAGACGAGTGTTTGTTGTCGAAACATGTTCACTAAAAATAAGGGGTAGGGTATCTTATTTTTGGCTGAATGGGATAACACATCATACCCATCTATGCAAATAAGTCAAGTGTTGTGCAAAATGCAAATAAGTTGTAAGTAAATAACTTAAAAGAGCCATGTGAATAAGCTGAATAGGCCATTTAAGCCATTAAGGCGCTGTTTGTTTTTACCTAAAAAACACTTAATACCCTCTTATGTCTGAATCGGTCAGACCTTAGGGTATTAAGTGTGTTTGTTTTTTTTTCCAATTAAGAGCTTAAAAGTTCTGATTATGTCTGAATTATTTAGAGGTAACATTTTCACTTAAAACCTCTTAATTGCTTTTAGAGCTTCCAATGCTTGCAAAGAAAGCCTAGATTTCAATGATTCAGATTTCAGATTTCAGACGTAAAAACAAACAGTCTGACTGATTCAGATTTCAGACTTCAGCACCACCTCTTAAAATTCAGAAGTGAATTCAGACTTCAGACTTAAGCACCTCTTAAAAAACAAACGCCACCGAAGTAAACAACCTCTAAAATAGCCTCGACTTAATGATACATTTTTTTATAAAGTTAGAACTAAACACATGATTTGTAACAAAAATAAAACCACAAGGACTTGTTCAAACTTTTTTAGGGTTAGAGACTCATTTCATAATTTTCTTGAAACCACAAGGATGAAATTTGTAAGCAAAGCAAAGCATTGCATTGCCATCAGTCACTAAATCACAGTGCATTCACAGTTATTTGCTGCTGAATTTCGTAAACTTTAATTCTGTACCGTTGGTCCATCGCCATCAAATCATAACCTGGGCTGTGTTTGCTTTGAGTCCAGCTATGGTGTCTCAAATTGAATTGGAAAGATCAAGTTCTCTTCAAACGGTTTGGTTTACTTACTTGCAAAACCCTAGTTTTGTTGGTTTTTTTTTGTTTGTTATGCTTGGACATCTCTTAATCGTAACTTAAGTGAATGCGGCACATGATGGTTACAAGCGTCCCTCGCTAATACTGTGTTGGGGATATTTATTTTTTGTTTGTAGTTTTTGAGCGAGGAGGGTCTTGTAGCTTCTCCAGAAGAAGAACTGAGGATGAGGAATGTCATTGACAAGCTTAAAGAGGTAATTGTGGATTTCTTCTGTTGGCTAGGGAGCTTATCAGTTGAAGAGTATATTTGTTTTGAGCTTTGAAGTTCTTTAGTGAGCGATAATATAAGGGACAATCAAATGGCAAAATCAAATTACAAGGGCTGTTGAAAGGTTGAAATCCATGAGGCGTATCTGAAAATCTTAAGGTGAAATAACTGTTCAAAGATATATAACATACAATGGTAATTTCATTATAGAAGGAAAACGTAATAGATGAATTTCATTGAGATATAATTGGCATATTGGCCCGTGATAGCTTCTGATAGTTAGAAAACTGTATATCTTGATGGCATTGGCAACTACAAGCATGGCTAGAAGTTACGTCCAATTTTGTGAGGGGAAAAGGGGATGCCCAAGTAATTGCTCATTATGTTGCATGCACGCATCCACATACTGTTGTTGTGGGTGTTGTTAAATGTTGGTAATACACCCTCACTATAAGTGACTCCATGCGTTACTTTGCAACTTGTATTGCAAGTTGCTGATGCAGGCTACGGTACACAGAAAGGGACTAGGTGCGCAAACTGGATGTTGCTAGGATTGGAAGAAAATTTATAGTACACTGCAAGTGACTTTGTATACGATTTGGTGAAGTCGCACACACAGTCGCTAGAAGTCAGATTTCTTTGTTAGCATATGTATATATGCATATTGTGCAGGGGCCTTATGAATAATTCCTCTATTCTAGGTTGCATATATATTGTTTTGTTTTCCTGCATTGTAAATCATGGTTTTCTCCTCAATAACAAAAGAAGATATTCTCACACAGTATCAAAGCCTAGGTCTACCACTCTAGGGACTCAACACTCTATGGAATTTGTACTCGTCTAGTCCCCACCCGTCTAGCCCCCTTTCGACACTCTAAGACGATTTGTGTTTGTCTACCCTCCATTGGAGAGGTGTCTAGGTCCCGCAGTGGCTAGACTTGGACCGTTTCTCCTCAATATACGTTGGAACCTCCTTCTCTCCTCAAGGATTTTTTCGTAGAGTAATCCAATGGGGTTCCACATATTCTCACACTTAATTTGGATAGATCGAGAGAGCTCCAAATCCAATATGGCTTGGAACTAGCCCATGAAGTCGCCTACGGGGTTTTGTGTTTGTCCAATAGGATAAATACAATTAGGTCAAAGTTATATGGTGAACTTCTTCCTTTAGTTGGAAGTATATAATATTTATATATGACAAATATTCACCCACACCCCTCACCTTTTGTGAGGTTTGAACCCTTGTAACTATAGAGAGTGTTCATGAAGTTCTTCAAGCTTTTGCATCTGTACTTGCGGTAAGAACATACCACATTTGATCATCAACAATATGAATCTGTTCCTCTCCTTATGAATGTACACTATCACACCGGTAGTAGAACCAACTTAAAATCTTGTGTTCTTTTTTGATTTTATACTATTTGAGCTGCTATATTTGGATGTTGATCTTGTTTAGGTTATGAAAATGTACTGAGCATATCTTTTGGATCCCGTTTGTTCTGTACTTGTTGTTTGAGTTTGGATCTCATTGCCATTGCTGTGGGACAAAAGATACTATACAGTCCTAACAGGTGTGATATTCCTCATCTTGGTTTTCATAGGAAATATTAAATTGGTGGTCAAAAGGAAAGACCTAACTGAACAATGAAAATCACCCGGTACTCAAAAGAAATAAAATAAATGAAGATAGATACTTGGGATATTCAATTTGATAGAACTTATCCAACATCCATTTGATTTATGGAATTCCATTTAATAATGATGCAGATACTGATGATATGGATTAAAAGAGTTGCTTATCAACGTAGGCTGCCGCTAAATCAGATTAAAGCTGCTTCTGCAACCTTATTACTGTATGGATTGTATGGTCTTGGTGTGAGTTTGTGTTTTCATTACTCTCTTTGCATTTATGTTGTACTCGACAGTATTTCCTAGTGCTCTGATTTGCTTATGAATTTTTTTAGGTTTATAATGTGGAGTCCGACATCGATGTACTTTGTGTTGCCCCTTGTTTTGCTTCTATGACAGTGAGTCTTCTTTTCTGCTATATGGTATATAGTTAGAAGGATTATGGAAGGACAAACTTTTCTGAACTTGTTTTTTTGTTGTCCAGGAGGATTTTTTCATAGTTTTGTACAACATGCTTGCAGGGAGACCAGAAGTTTCTGTTATCCATTGTGTCAAGGATGCGAAGGTTCCTTTATTGCAGTTCACGTTTGAAGGAATCTTGATCGACTTAGCTTTTGCTAAACTTCCAGTTACAGTTGTTCCTGAGGTGAGTAGGAATGATACTTTATGTGTTTTCTACGTCTTTCATCTTTGCCACCTTTTTGTTTCTATTATTATTACTATTTTTACTTAATTTGGTTTTAGAATGTGGACATATCCAACCCCTCGTCCATTGAGGATATCGATGAAACAAGCTGGAAGAGTTTGTCTGGAGTGTGGGTTAAGAATAGCATCCTGCAGCTTGTTCCAGATGTGAAGGTACAAAGTGTTTATCTAGAACTGAACTTTAAAGAGACCAGCACAATATTCTGTTCTTTTCTTTTTCTTCCTCTCTTTGTTACTTGTCTTGTATTTTTCTTAGAGTTGTAGCCTTGTAGGAATATGTCCATGTATTGTGAATATGCATCTCGCTTTAAAGCAAAATTTAAAGCTAATTTTAAGACTAGTTTTATATAGGTATTATCTACATAATTAAATTATTCTACCATTGCTTTCTTGACTTTTATGGTTGCATCAATTTTTAAACTCATCAACCAGCGTTAACTAGCTTTCATTTCATTGCGACTACAATAATATTGATATGTGAAGGGAAAGTGTGGCTCTGGTGCAGTTCTTATATGCAAAATTTCCGCTCGAAGCTTACAAGTGAACATATCATGGACTTTAGAATTCACACCAAAAAACCAACAAAACCCTCAAACACTCTGTCCATCTTGCCACCAGGATTCTGATATTCTGATCAAGCTTTCCAAAGAAAAACTAAACACTAAAAAAGATTTTATCTCCCTGAATCAAAGAGTCAGAATCTTTAGTAGCAATGTTCTTTTGATTTGCAATGGATCACATTTGTATGTACGTTTCTGCCATCACTGAATTGATTTCACATGAAGTTAAGATGTTGGTGCTATTCTGGGATCTGATTTCTTTATATAAGGGTGTCTATTTCCAGACTTGACGATTTTCACGGTCTATAAATCCAGCATAACCTCACTACAGGATATGTTTCACTTCAACTTTTTTTTTCTTTTGACAACTCTATTTGCTTGTTTATTACACTTGTTAACTAAATTGTTTTTTTTTTTTTGTAGATATTCAGGGAACAATTATGCTGTGTTAAGTCATGGGCAAAGAGGAGAGGGGTGTATGGTGACGTAAGGGTTTCCATTTTACTCAATTTCACATTTTTTGTTGCTGTTGTTGTTTTTTCTTCTCTTTTGCTGCCTGCTCATTGACACATGCCTGGTAATTCTTTGGATAACATACAAAAGTTGGATTTGAACTCAGTTGCTCTAAAGGTTATGTTGAGCAAACTCTAGCCACTTGAAGAAGCAAAGCTGGATAATTTTTGTTGTTTCTTATTTCTTGTATTATTCTTGATCTATTTTTGCAGTTATTTGGGTTCTTTGGGGACATACACTTGGCTGTTTTAGCTGCTTTTATTTGTCAAAAGAACCCAAGTGCCAGTTTGGTCGATCTGGTTTCAATCTTCTTTAAGACATTTGCCTTTTGGCCTTGGCCAGAACCAGTTGTTCTACAAGAAGGAGCAACACTGCCACCTCTTCCGCCTGGTACACGAACTTTGATGCCTATTCAGTTGCCGAGCAGCCCAAATGAGTATTGTCGTTCAAACATGACTACTAGTACCTTCAACAAGATCAGAGCTGAATTCCGTCGAGGATATCGTCAGACTCAGGTACAGATATAATATTCTCTCTTTATTTAAAATCACAAGTCACAACACATTCATTTTGGGATGTCCATACAAATTGCAACACTTCCTCTTTTCGAGATTTTCAAAGTCAGAACTCAGAAGTACCTATATGCGTGTTATCATCATGACGACTTACTGTTGTTTGGGGTGTTAAGTGGTTTGGTTTTGGTTGTCGCCATGAACCTGATGCAAATCAAGGGCGTTGGGGACGAGTGTATAGGTGTAAGACTAGAAAACAGGAAGTCCAGGGGGTTTGAGGTTCTTTTTCAATAGTTGGTATCTATTTTTGATCATTTGCTTTAATTTTGGCAAAAAAACGTTTTCTTTGGGTGGGGATTAGCATAAATATAGCCGATTACCCTTAGGGTGGGGCAGCTTTTGTTTTACGCTTTTATGTGTTTTCTTTGGAGATTGCCTTGGGTCTCGAATTCCAGGTAAGTAAGAAGTATCGGGTAGAATTGCCCTGTTCCGTATCGTTTTTTTTGTTTGATACATATCAAATTGGTATCAGAGCCACGTCCTGCGACCTGTGAGCTATCTGTTTTTCTGCCTGATCAGACATGGCGATAACGAGRAGCGAATCAAAGAACACGGATGGGGAGCAAGATTTACGTCAATACAAGGAGAAAAACGAAGAACRTATCAGCAAATTGGAGAATTYGTTGGATGAGATGCGAGTTGAATCTGAAAAACGACACGCAGAGCTGATGAACCTGCTGCTACAGCAGGCACGAACCACACCGCCGCCGTCTACCACCATGCCACCACCGTCCACAGTGGCCATTCCGACAACGTTTCCGTCCATCTTTCAATCATCCAATCTGGTTTTCGACGAGCGCGGGCAACCGCTGCCAACATTCTCAGAGAACAACAGTGCCAACAAAGGGTCTTCCCCACCAYTTAGGACCCAAGGAATTTCGCAACCGATGTCAACAGGAATTTCGTTCGGGCACTTCGGGCTTCCGCCTTTTAACAACGATCCTGGATGGGGGTCTGGACCCACCGGAGAACGGACAGGGACGCCGGGATCGGACTATCATTTGAGAAAACTCAAGATGCCCTTGTTTGACGGTGAAGATGCATACGGGTTGGTGTATCGCATCGAGCGTTTTTTCGATATTCAAGGGTTCGTTTCCACCAGTGAAAGGTTACGGGCAGCCGTGTTGTGTATGGARGGACAGGCTCTGGCCTGGTTTCGTTGGAGCGATGGGCGAAACCCTTTTCGACATTGGGACRATCTGAAAGGACGGATATTAGACCRCTTCCAACCCTCTCAGGAGGGCGACATCTATGAGCAGTTCCTCGCCATTAAGCAGGAAGGGACCGCTCGAGAGTACGTTGGAAATTTCGAAACACTCGCGGCAYAGCTGGGTGGGATACCGGAGAGGGTAATGGAAGGCACCTTCATAAAGGGGTTGAGACAGGATCTTCGAGCATCAGTACGACTCCTACAACCCACGGGGCTGGATCAAGCCATCAAATTAGCCCTCATGGTAGATGAAAGCCGCTTGGGTAACCACGGGGAGTTCGGGAGAGGAAGTTCAAAGGGGTCGGCAGCCCGATCTATGAGTACGGGATCGCGACCAGTAGCAACCCCCGCTATAGGGGTAACAAAACCAGCACCCGGAGGGACCAAGCAGCCCTTCAAACGCATAACAGACACCGAATTTGCAGAAAAAAAGGCAAAGGGATTGTGTTTTCGGTGCGACGGCAAGTACGCTGGACATCGATGCCCAGAGAAAACCCTTCAAGTCCTCATATTACCCAGCGAAGATGAGGGAGACGAGGAGGGGGTAGGCGAGGACGAGGGTCACATCCATCTAGACACGGTCGAGGTCTCCTCTCAGTCGGTGGTCGGAATAACCGCACCACGCACCATGAAACTGCGAGGCTATATCGGTGGGGTTGAAGTGGTGGTATTGATTGATAGTGGGGCAACCCACAATTTTGTGTCCCTGCAGTTAATACAACCACTAAAACTAAAGGTGTCTGGCAACCGCGAAACGGATGTGATATTTAGGAACGGGAAAGCCGCCAAAAGCTACGAAATCTGCAAGACTGGAACTGCAGCTTCCGGGCCTGATCGTCACCGAAGATTTTTTCCCGCTCGAATTAGGAAGCACCGACGTTATTTTGGGGATCAAGTGGCTAATGCAACTAGGGGACACTCGTGTGAATTGGCGAACACTAACCATGACGTTTGATCATCAAGGCGACCAGGTTATATTGCATGGCGATCTTGGTCTACATCGAGGGGCGGCCTCATTACGCGCCCTAGCACGAGGGCTACCCGCAATCSWAGAAAGCTATATCATCACATTAGCRAACACTGAAGCACCCGGCATGCCCGAATCGYAGGTCCACCCCGCCCTCGATGGCTTACTAGCGGAGTTCTCCGATGTTTTYGTTWTGCCCAYAGGTTTACCGCCCTCCCGGGAGCATGAACATGCTATCGTGTTGAAAGGCGCAACAGAACCAGTAAATGTCCGTCCTTATCGCTACCCGCAGTTGCAAAAAGATGAAATCGAGAAGCTGGTTGGAGAGATGATTGAGTCAGGCATCATTAGATCGAGCACCAGCCCTTTCTCGAGCCCGGTCCTGCTAGTAAAAAAAAAGGACGGGAGCTGCCGATTCTGTGTGGACTACAGGGCCTTAAACAAATCCACTGTGCTTGACAAGTTCCCGATTCCCGTCATTGACGAGCTGCTGGACGAGCTACATGGCGCAACAGTGTTCAACAAATTGGATCTGAAGTCGGGGTACCACCAAATCCGAATGAAGAGCGCCGATATTCACAAAACAGCWTTCCGAACCCATGAAGGACATTACGAATTCCTGGTTATGCCGCTCGGCTTAACCAATGTGCCGTCCACCTTCCAGTCCTTGATGAACAAAGTGTTCCGACCGTATCTTCGCAAGTTCGTGCTGGTGTTTTTTGACGACATTCTGGTCTACAGTCGGACTATGGAGGAGCATCGAGAACACTTGAGAGTGGTGTTCGGGCGTCTGGAAGCTGAGAGCCTCTACTGTAATAAGAAACAATGTGTGTTCGGACAGGCGTAGGTAGACTACTT